TCCCGTAATCGTTTTTTGTCATGTAGTCGGAACATCTCGGGACAAGGTTGGTGCGAAATCGGAATCTTCCTTGCCTAGGACCAGAGTGCACTCGCTCAACCATCTACGTCATTGTCTTGAGCGTCTCATAAGCGTCCGTTGAGGGTGCTTTTTGGCTTCAACAGCGAGCAGAGCGTACGTACGAAGAAAACGCTGCTGATGCAATGTAATTCTGGCGTATGAACTTGAGAACAATTGCGATTGAATAAGTGGCTGGCATTAAGTTTATTTAGATACGGTGCGAAGACATAAGAAACCCAGTGACAAACTTAAGACCATACTGGATCGACAGCTAGAGCAACCTGTTCAAGTCGGTGTGATCACGGGGTCTCTGTCCCAACAAACCGCCGCCCCCTGCAGTGCGCAAACCTACATATTTCTCAAAATCTACTGAGCAGCATCGTGTAATCCGAGCACGCTACATTTTCAGCAAATGGTAACCTCCACATTGTAAGCCCGGTGCTTATAGGAATATGTACAGGTGCAGTAATCTAGGTCGTTCTTTTCACTGATTTTTCTTCCACATTTCAATACCTGGGAATGCTACACATGGGGCCTCTGGCAGCAGATTATAAGCCGTGGATTGGCAGCTCCACGGGGACAACCCATCAAGGTATTGTCGGCGGCGTACCGAGGGCTGACACATCAAAGGGTGAAACCCTACATCCCCAGGGTCAGCGCCGCATCACGCGATTCAGACCATCCCGGATAATTCTGCCGATTGTTGCAGTGTGAAGTATTGAGCGCTGAACAGAAAGAGACTGTTTGTTTGCTTCAAGGATATCTGAATTGAGTGGTTAACAAGTGGCAATATATCACCTCCACTGTAAATAGCTGCAATCCATCAATTTTATTGCTTCTCTCGAGCCGGGCAAGGACAGAAAAACGTTATTGGCTTCTTTACCTTAGTACATTTTTGAAAGCGTGCAATGCCTGATAAATAACGTAATTCATCGTTTCAGAAGCAAACGATTTGTATTTGGCATACAAATAATGCATATTCTTGAGTTCAATGGTAAGATTCATTTCATAAGATGACAATTGGAATCAAAAATTCAATGTCATGGAAGGAAATTATTCTTTAAGATGGACAAATGTGAAACGTTCATTTTGTTTTGGTAAACACGGCATTAATAAAGCCACTTTGTGTATAAGTCCAAGTTTTTCTTATTCAGTCGGGCATAAAATCGCAACATGAATTGAAGTTTCTTGTCCCGGATGTTCTTTTGCGTCTTACAATTTACAACATGGGCGATTCACAATAGTGTGCCTCGAAGAGTTTGCAACGCGTTGGCCAATCACAACGCGAGAAATTTGTCGATCCTTTTAAAACGCACATTGGGTTAGGCCAACATGTTGCAAACTCTTGGAGGCACACTCTTGTGAATTTTCCGTATTCTGTGTATTTGAAGCAAATTTTATGAGAAATTTCCTTGCCCTCAGAAGACGGACTGGTGCTTCGCGTTTAAAGCGCTCATTTTTCTGAATCAACATTCGTTACTGTATTTGAGTTTAAGAATAGACCGATTGCCCCCTAGTCACGTGACCCGCAGAACATCAGTAGCCTAAGTACTTTCACCGACTGTTGGCTTTATTTTGTGAGACACCTGTAACACACATACTTTGCTATGCGAGAACGCGATGTTTTGTTGATGTTTGATACTATATAGTTCACGTGATCTAGTGGACTGACCACATGATAGGATTTTAAATCTTGTCGTGGACCATCATAAACTTTCATCTGCAAAGCTTAAACTACCAACCCCCATCCCATGAGCGCATGCCCAATATGAATCTTGTCCCGAGGTCACATTAGCGCTGCAATACGGACTCGCACTCCATGTCCTACCACTTTATTCTTTTCAAGGAGTTGAAAGAAACAGCAAACGGTAGCACCACAGGGGAGAATTCTTTCATGGATATTCACTTTAGAAAAAAAATGGTATTTTCCGGAGACCCGGTTATGCGACTGAATTGTTAGTGCATGCACACCTGGGGACTTTGCTCGTGGACGCACTCATAAAGCAAAAGGCGCCTTATTGCGTTCAAGGGTCGGCCCAACTTCTCCCAGTGGTCCCCCCCCCCAAAAAAAAGTGCCGAAATGTCAGCGGAGAGACAAAAGAAACCAAGAACTAAGGAATTCGCCCGGCGAACTTGTTTTTGACTACTGGTGTTCCGATTTGTACCACAGGAGTGAACTAATGACTGTGAATGATCCTTTGAGGGCATGGTGTCGCATGGTTGCACCACGACAGTGAAATGGAAATAACCTACTCGGCCGATGAGTGCAGTGCCTCAGAACATGGAGAGCGATAGATTTATCCATCCGTCACAGTAGGCGGTATGCCTGGGCTGCGAGGAATTTTGGGGCCCTACGAAAATACTCTCAATTAGCCCTGTGCCTTGAAATACGCAGTGAGTGTTTGAACGGTTGGCGTTTGTCTGTCATTTTTCGATTTGGCGTAGGCTTCAAACTGTACCTTTAGCCATGTGTTCCTTCCTCCATGCTATAGCTTAGTACAGCCATGGTGCAGCTTAGTATCAAATGTAAAATGAGAGGTTCTTGTGTTTATGTCCACAATACATTGGTTCTCATGCCTAAAATTGAATAGTGTGGGGCCTTCTGACCACGTGAATAGGACCTACGGAACTACAGTATCGTTTACATGTATGTTCGCGACGGGTGTTTATATTGTATTTAAGTCTTTACTGGTGTAAACTGAATAAAATGTTGTAATAATAATAATGTACATTAAGTTGGATTATTTGAATTAAAGCTCTCGGATCTATTTATAAATTGGTTGAATCTTGCTCTACTTTCGGCGACGTTGTCCATTTCCCAGGTTTTCTTGTAGGCGTGTTAATGTCACGTTTTCCCAATCAGGGCGGACCTTGCTTGGGACACCGGTCCTGCAATTTTCCCACAATACGAGCCACTGGTGAGGATCCTATACAGGGTCGTTACCCACGGTGCGAGGTCCGCGCCGGTCAGGAATTTCATCCCCAGAATCACTGCAACTGCCCTCAGGAAGGGAAGCTGGGTACTTCTCTCAGCATGACCGCGAGGGGAAATTTTAAACCCAGACCGAAACCATAACAACCACCTGAGCTAGAGACATTTCAAACGGAAAACCATGCAAGATACGACTCGGGGGGGGGGTTCGACATAAGAAATGTTAACACGCTGTACTTTGACCTCGTTGTGAATTTGAATTATCTCTAGGAGCTATTTTGTAACTATCGACTCATTTCAACCTCTGAATTTTATATACTCATTTGGTCACGTTTCGACACGCTGTCTTGTGAGTTCATTGAGAGTGGGGGCCATTCATGACATCACACTGTCATGGCAACCACGAGCGGCTAAATCTGGTAAGGTATGTTCTTAATCTAAGCTAGACGGTTGATCCGTCACAACAGAAAAACCACTCCTGAAGCGTACCTATACGACAAGCCATACTAACTCTGTGACAAAAATGACACAGCAAGAAAAAAAACACAGAACGTGAAACTGGTTTCTACACTGGTTTCGGCATGGGAATTCATCGTGGTGAACGGTGACCGGTTTCTTTTCCCGGTCACCGGCTCGGTGCTTCACTATAGGACGGTATCAACAAAATACGGGTTCTGCCTGAGGTCCAGATATCATTTACACCAGCCCTATTGGCTGGCATCACACTGCTTATTTGCCCACGCTTCAAAGGTCAAAAAACTGACACGACGCATTGTAGTTTAATTATACCAGAAATTTCAACAGCAACATTATTCATAATGGACGTGAGATTCAATTATGAGACAGAATTTATGCACATACTAATCAAAATGTTCTCATATGTTGTAGTTTTCGGATAGGGAGTGGGGGCCCATTCCCTTTCATCGAGGGAAAATGCTGATGTTGGACTTTTCTTTATCTTGAAGTCATCTCAAAAACCTCAAATTTACATTGTTTTGCTACTTCAACTTTGTGACATGGTCGTGACTTTTCAACTTCGTACACCCAACGGACCCCTCCGGCACACACCCTCCAGCTCGCTGGTTTTCATTTGTTCTCCCCCCTTCGGCCGAACAACGTTTCTACAGGGTCCAGGGTTCTTTCCTTGAAGCTATAAAACCGAAACGTGAACACGAATTCCGCTGAAACGATTTAATAGCCTTTTCATCCTGTTTTGTGACGATATCTGCAACCGTATCCTGGGAATGGGCTATTCGTGGAGCTCTAAATAAAAATCCCCCTTTTTCGTAATGAGAAAGGCGGACTGCAAAGAATTTTTTAAAGACTTCCCAACAACTAAAATGTATTCAATAGCACTCAATGAGAGGACAAGTTTTAAACGCCATAAACACTCCGTGCTGATGTAAGGTTTAAGCCGAGTACAATATTACTAATGTATACATCTGCACAGAGCATGCTTATAGAGAGAGTTTTGACATGAGTATCTCAATTGTTGGAAACAAAATGGTAGATTGTGCGTGGGTGCAGCTGGACAGTTACTACACAAAGAATGAATAGCCATTTTGGTTCCAAAATCAGAAGTTGGCGCCACTGTCCAAGTTGTATAAAGCTCTGCATGTGCATCATGAACAGACCCCCCCCCATATGGTGTCAGCAACCCTTCCCTTGCTTTTCGAATTCCCAAGGCCGAGCAAGTCACCCCCCATCCCCAATCTCCCCAGTTCCCGGCTAAAATTCACGCCATTGCTCCCTATCCACTTCGAGCAGAAGCACCCCATCGTGGTTTGAAAATAGCCGCCTTGATCAGAAGTGTTCATTTTGTTGGTAGCGATGCAACTGCAACGCTTGCGTTTCTTAGTCGTTCGTGAACCAACGATGCGTTGTTAGTACCAAAGGAGCCTCCGTTGCTGAGGAAATCATATGCCCTCTCTTAATCCAGCTCGAGGCCCATTATCAGCCGACGGGGCTGATCACGCTTGACGGTAATTTCCAAGAAACAGACACCCACCTCTGAATGTTGACATGGATCTTGTCCTCCCCCTTCACCGCGAGTTCCAGGAAGCCGCGCATGAGCGTGGCCCACTCCAGCACGAAGGCGGCGATCAAAAAGTTGAACCCGGCAGAGCCGTAGCCGTACTTCTTGAGGAAGGTCATGAGAAAGCCGAAGCCGATAAACATCATCACGTGAACATCTTGAAACACTGCAAAATAACCACAATAAACGAGGCCATTAAGTACCAATGTATGAGGCAGGTCAAATAATGTACTAATGGAAAAAAAACAGGCTACATAGTGCAGGTCAGTAACAAAGAAAAGCCCTCCAAATTCCTGAGTTACACAAAGGAAATAAATTTAACGCCAAATGCAGTAAAAGAGGCGATATTTATGCTTTTGGCTCTAAGTATAGACGAAAGCGCCATATGGCAGACCAGCTGTGTTCTCAGTGCATATTTTCCCCGATTCGAATCATCGTGGCTGATTTCAGAATAATAATCGTGTAAAAGATTATTGACAATAATGTTACAAAAACAGGCAACATTGGTTTGACTGTAAGAAACGACTGAAGATTTTGGGACAGCTTGAATAAAATATGCCGTTCACATGCTAATGAAAGACAGTTTAAACTCAGATACATTTGAGTTGGCTTTCATTTCATGATAAATTTTTTTTCGGTAAACGCTAAAAGTCGCTTACCGGTAATAATAACATATTAAGTATCACTTGCTTTGCTTGAATTTTTTCTGATGTCATCTAACCGGAAATAAAACACCGAGACGAAAACTACTGCGTATAAACAGGCAACCACGGCTTGTCATGAGAAAAATAATTACTGAAAAAGACTTTGAATAAAGTAGTTGATTTATTTTCTTGCTAGTGAATGACAGCGTACAACTGAATCGCTGAAATGGATTGAGAAAATCCCCTAAAAGTGGGGTGGATTACTCCCGATAGAATCCACGAATCGACACAATAGAGGGATCCCGATACGACGCTTTAGCGTCGATCTGCTCACTTCCGCGTTTGAAAACGGGGCTGTATGTGTCAGCTTCAATTCTTAATACGATCAGACGATTTAAAGTAAGGAGTCAAGACACAAATTGCGTAAAGGTATATTAAATTCAGACTTTTCAGGCTGCAGAATTTTGTGTAAGGATCAGGATGACTCGACACGTAAAATAAAAAAAAAAAGTAACGGCAAGTAGCTGCGAACTGACGCACCTGCGCTGGTTTTGTATCTGTGCAGTGGGCGTGGTTTCAATTGAAGCGGCGTCACACTTACGAACCGGATACTGCATGTACTCTGTCGACACCGCGGCCCGTGCGACCAAGTTCAACACAGAGAGCCTCGGTTTGGTTTTGATGCAGATATGCGCAGACAGTGCTTATGTGAAATCCCTCTATTGGATTTAAGGTTTAACCCTATCACGCCAGGTGCAAAAAGTGCAATTACACGGAGCCATGAGACGTGCGTTTTCCATGGTAACCGCTGTTTTCATACCCCGGTTGTGGGTCCCGTGGGATCTTTGAAGAGAAACGTCGGGGTCCCGTGGTAGACCCTGTCCAAATTACTTGGCTGCGGCTTCAGATTACACACAAGTCTACGACAGAGGCTGAAGGGGCCAGCTGTAGAGTTATTTTTGTTTTTAAGCCGCAGCCAAAATGTTCGAGCTTCATCTTTCCAGTTCGAAGTGTGTGATGTATGGTATGCTCTGGTTTCTTGCGTGAAAGCGTTACTGCAATGAATTTTTTAAGACAAAATTTTTCTTCAACTTGGTGTTTTTCTTCGATGTATGAAAATTCTTTTACATTCCTATTCGGTTAAAAGTGCAATTTGTTAACACTTTAACTAACCCATGCTTTCCTAGCAAGCAGAGGGCACTAGGCTGTGAAGTCATCCAGGTTTTCGAAACGAGTTTCGCTGGTTCCAGTCAGAGCTTTGAACATGTGGTTTTCAAACGCTGTTCCAAAACGGCTGGAACCAGCGAAACCAAAGACTAAGCTGAATCCATTTGTTTTGAAAACGCTCATAACAGTTCAGCGCACTGGCTTTTGGCTTCAACTTGTGAACCCAGAAATTACTTAGTGAAAACATTTCTGAGAAAGGGATTGATGTTTGCTTATTGCTATGCACATAAACAACTATAAAGCAGCAAAGAAGAGAAAGCCGACAGTCCAACAAAATCTACAAAAATGCAGGACTTTTTGTGTACAAACCAGTGCAGCTTTGGGATTAGTATTCGGATGACACACCGGTTTTGCCGTGAATATGGAAATATTCACTAACATAAAGAACAAAAAGGCAGTAAATAAAATACCCCTTGAAACAGTGAAACAAAGTTGAAAATAAGGTTAAATGAGACACAAAGATGCATTTTGGAAGAAACTTTGTATTAAAATAAATTGATTGCAGCTACCCTTTAACTTTAAGTTTGTAATCGAGGATGCGCATGGACCCATCACAACGAATCTCGTTTCGTATAGCCTCCTTCCGGATGGTTTCTACATGTGGGGGCTTTTGATACGTTTTTGCAGGCGAGGGAAATAAATAAAACAGAAAAAATGACTTCATTTTACAAAAAACCCAACTTCTGCTTCTTCTTTTAAGGAAGGACATAGTTCCCGTTGTTCCCCCCCCCGGCCAATGGGACTGCCACACCCCAGGTCTGTCAATCAAGTACAGATGTGGCAATCTGTGGTTCCTTTTAATTAAGGTCAAGTCACCAATTCAATTATTCCACAGGTACTTGGTCCCAAATCCCCTCGATCAATTTTTATGACTGATCGGCCAGCTGTTATTCTTGACAGTTTGACAGGGTTTTGTTTGTGTAACATTTCACGGTTTATGATTTGTGGAATTAAGTCTGTTTTCCTTAACCGAAATATAATCACTTTGCATTAGTGTGGAACTCGAGGAATTTTTTTTTCATTCAAGTTGCAATCTTCCCACAGTACCGTCAAAGACGTTTTGTAATGCCTTCTGAGCGAGGCTGACATGAAAAAAAATCATATTCCAACACCAGATTTCAAGAAAGAAAATGGGGACAGGACTTTGGCCACGGGTCCCTTGTCGAAAGACAGCCATTTTTAATGTTAATAATTGTTGCAAATTACTTACACAAATACATGTTTGTCACTACAAGCTTGCAGGCAGCTACAGAGAAATTCAATTCCGTTTCTCATAATTTTGCCACTATAAAGTTGGAGTCTTAAGGCATTTTTGTTCATCTCATATAATTATGTGTGGTGCAAATCCATTCCGTACCCTCGGCAGGTGATTTAGCATTAAACTGTAGCTGCAATCAATTCATTTTAATACAAAAATTACAAAATGCACCTTTATGTTTCAGCTAACCTAATTTTCAACTTTTGTTTCATTATTTCAAAGGGTGTTTTACCGCTGTCTTTTGGTTTTATACTAATGAGAATTTCCAAGTCCATTAGCAAAATTGTGATGTCATCCCAATGTCAAGTCTCGATGACACAACTGGTTTCTACCATGGGGCTATTATTTAATTTAGCTCTATGGTTTGTACACAAACAAGTTCATAATTTTTAAGTTTTGCCGGACTAAATGTTGACTCACTGTTATTTATGAGCAAAGCAATAAGGAAGCATTGATCTCTTTCTCGTAAATGTACTCATTAAGTGTTTTCAATTTGGACAGAAAGACCTTTGCATTGAGATATGTTTTCCCTTTTTTCCAACAGCACCGTCAGTTGTCCAGGAAAGCAGGGATAAATTTAAGTGTTTAAAAGAATGTGCACTTTTCAAAGCATTTAACCAAAAATGTGAACCTGAAAAAGTCTTCATTCAGTACATTGAAGAACGGTACAAAGTTGCAGGAAAATTGTGTCTGAGAAAACTTCACTGCAGCTACACCTCAACATTTCCCTGCATGCGACGGGACGTGTCGGATGAAAACCTCTCTGACTGCTTTCATGAAGACCTGTCAGGTAAACCGTTTTCCCCTTGGAATATTACTTTTTCTGCGCCTCCAAATCTCAAAAAAGAAATACCGATGTGTAGGCCATAATGACTCTGGAAGGGTCAACAGTCCTTCAAAATTGTTTTCATCGATTCTGTACATGCGCCGACTAGTTGATGATCTATGGATCTGTGCTCCCCCAATAGTTGTATGTCAGGCACTGATAGTTACCTGGTCCAAAAGATTATTAATTGCCCGTGGGAGATACCGAAGGGCACCACAAAAACCAGTTGGAAGTTCAAAGTATAAAACCAGCAGGGTTGCAATAATTAATAACAATATCGCAATGTTCTACTCGGAGTAGTAGTACAAGGACTGCTATAATGCTGAGTAAAGCCCGTTTCATAAATGATATTCAGAGCAAATATCTGTAAATAATTAGCACGAAGTCGGGAAGTGTGGAGACACAGATCAGGTGTTTTTGTGCCACGTGTTCAAAAATTAATGATTACCAGTGCACGGGCGAATTTGTTTGCTTGAATGGTGACTCTATGCGATACTAGTCAACATGTATAAGCATTGTTTTGGGTAGTAAAGCATCTTCGTTTTTTTCTCATTTGTCAGTAAAACTAAAACTGTGACGTTCGTTTCAATGAAACACGTTCGCACACGCACACAAGTGCGTATTTGCCTGCAACTGGGGACCCCCTATTGTTCCTCTTTTGTTTGTACTTTAACTTTTTCAGAAGACCACCCATATGTTTTGTACACAGTTGTCAATTGGGGACCCTCTGTCAATCGGGGACCTTATTGTCCTCTGTTGTTCAGGGTCCCCAATTGAATGCAGAAACAAACTCTTCAAGTCCAGTACTTCTTTTTTCGCTGTAACAGATGGGTGTACGGATGTTTATACCCACCGTCACGCGTCCAGAGCTGGAAACGTGTATCATACGGTATTACAAGTGTTTACCAAATCATGTCTCAAATTATACAAATCGTGTATGATTTTTCAGGTCAAACCGACACCTTTTTCCATTGTGCAAAAGCAAGCATAGCCTAAATTAAACATTCATTTAATTCATATAATTTCAAACGCCGACTTCGATTGGGTTCCAAACCGGAAACTTATTGAGAGTCAGAGAGTCTTCCCACACAGATGTACTGAGTACAGAAACCACCAACCCTACTGAACTTCTAAAGTGAAACACTGGTACCCGCGTACATTGGAAGGAAACCAAACCTTAAAATCATAGAAAACAGAAGCACATCAGTCTCGTAAACCTGCATGTATATTGGGTTTGTACTGATTGGGCGACAAAATCACACTCAGTGTACCAGCATATTCGAAGAATTGCACTAGCATACAGATACCGTGCATGACATGGGGGCCGATGGGTACCCTCACATGTCTAATCCCTATACAAACTCTAGACTATTGTTGCCTAACACNCCGGTTCTTCTCAGAACCACACATACTCAAAGAAGAGATAAATACATTGTGTTACTGCAATCTTTACTATAAATCTACGTCCCCCTAGACGTCTGTAAAGAATTCCTGAGATTCCGATCAAACAATGACCAACACAAAGGCGAGGGGGGTTCTCTCCGCCCCATATCTTGCATCATATCATATGAGCATACAAGGACGTCAAATTTTCCTTTTTTTTACGCAGCTCAGAGCTGGGTACACGTACTGGTCTTTCTTGATTTTCAATGAGCATACTGTATAGAATCAAAGAATATTGTCGGGGTTCCACGCAGAGAACTGACGGTATCACTCGTTTAATCGCTTAGCGTCACAGCACGTGGCCGATGACGGTCACCCCACAACAATAACAGTTCAAACTGGGACCTTTTTGATACATGGCGCGGTAACTATCCATTCGGTGAACCGAATGCAAGCAGGACCAAGACCGCGCTGCACTTCCTGAAAACGAGCCAATTGGCTCTTGAAATCACATGGCTCACGCCAGCCCGACACTCCATCTCGTCCGCCGGTACGTTGGTAGTCGCGTGAACTCAGACTTGCCGGGGAAAAAACAGTATGAGTGTAGAGGTTATTCACCTGTTGTCAGCATAATGGGTTGAACTTATTTCACTGCACATGCAATTGGATCATTTATGCCTAAAAAGAGGGTGACAGCGATAGTTTTAGAAACCTGATGTTGGCCTGAAACTAGGGAGTGTCCGTTATTTGAAATTGGCACATGTCAGAATGGTACTCGCCAGTGAACAAGTCCGGATCTCTCAGGTTCGTGCAAATGACTAGCAATATTTCTTGAACTGCAAGGGCCGATCTAGAGCCAGTGGGGGAGGACTTGTTTGGGGGCCAAAAATAATTGAATTTTTGTTCATGTACCGGTAACTTTTCAGAGCGTTTCGAAATGTCCGGGTTGAAGCTGCTTTGGGGGGCTTTTTACTCACTTTAGGCAGACTTTCTATCATTCGTTTATATTTTTCTTCAACTTTTGGGCTCTGCTCTGGGAGGTCATGGTCCTGCCGCCCCGACCCCTGGCTCCGCCCTTGCTGGAGAGTACGGTTCAAAGAAAGTGATTGGGTGATTGTATCCCTACACAAAACTAATTACCACTACTAGGTCATGATCTAACCAGGCAGTGCACGCTTAACTTCAATGAGAACGGCCTAAGCTTTCATTCGGAAACGCAACACTTTTCTGTTGACTTACAACAGTAATTTCCGTAACTTTTAAGTAGGGCCTACATCTTGAAATAGTTTGCGGTACCCGCTGCTTCATCTAACTCGAACCAGCCATTTGACCCCAGCAAGCTCGGTGGTCAAACGGTTACTTTAAGACGTTTGCACCAGTAAAACTGATGGTCGTGAGTTCGAGTCCCACGAGAGTTAGCTAGTGAATTTTGTTCGCAAGCTTTTGGACAAACACTGAGTAAACGATATTATGAATACAGGTCGGTGTAAGGGCAAAAACCCGTTATTAAAAGTAATTCTTGTCCTCTTAAACCGAGTACCAGGCAATTGTATTCCCTAGTACAAAAGGTGCATTTTCATAACCACCTTTGTTTACAACAGCTTCTGAAAAAACGTCTGCAACAAAGTTCGTGCCTGTTACCGATACTGACATAAGGGGTCGAAAGTGTTCATCCGTGAACGCACTCGCACCTTTTGTTGCTAATGCAGCGTACCATTCAATGGCCTCTCAAGGGAGTTTTGTTATTTTTTTGTTTTGTGTTGGGGTGTAGTTTTTTGCCATTACAACAACCGACAGTCAGAGCCAACAGCAGCATTTTTTTTTTTGCTTGGACTGCCATCAGTCAACCTGGGACACTGACCCTTGTGGTTTTTCTGTGATTCTTCAGAAGTCGCGTGGAGGGGCCCGGAGGGCCGATGGCCAGAGAAACTAACCCAGATGACTGAGGGGGCTTCCTGGGCAGAGTTTACATCATCTCTAATTATAGTGGGCGGCCCTCTATCATCAATCAGCTCACCACGCCTCCGGTTAATAAAGAGAGCACTGCGAGCGATATCATAGGTTTAATTCTGAGTGCAATGTTTATGCCATTTTGGTCATTCTCGAAAACCAAAAAAACAAAAGAAAACACAACCAATTACAGCCAATCAAGGTACCGCTCGGCAGAAATCATTTCCCTTGCAAACGTTTGTGCTCATACATGCAAAAATCAACGGAGATCGTTGATCAATGGCGATCAATCTTTATTTTCCGACCCAAAAACCACAATATTCAGCTCTTTCCGACCGATACGTGAATATTAAGGCCAGTGGTCAACCCAGAGGTGGGGCTCTGGGTGCTTGAGCCCCTCCCCTCTCCCGACTGGCTCAATTCCCCCTCCCCCGGTCATGGACAGGTAAAGACCTCAATGGTCAAGTTGTAGCCAATTCCTTTTCATTTTTCAGTCACAGACTTCACCCTTTGATACTGACTTTGTGTGTGAAATATTAAAGAACAGAGAATGAAGTATGGCCTTTTTAACTGAACTGTCATGTACACGACAAACTCTCCTCAGCGTGAGGAGAAACAAGGGCAGAAAAAATCAATGGATTTATATTTTTTAATTAATAAATAAACTTACTTGGGTAGTAGAGGTCCACTTGATTGCTAAAGCCAGCCAGGTTTTCGCCTTCCGCCTCTCCGTGACCTCCGGACTTTTTGCGGGCGTCAGCCGACGGATCATACTCCACCAGCACCCCGAACAGCACCAGGAACACCACCTGCAGCACGAGCAGGAGCAAAGTCAACTTCCCACGAGTCCAGGCCATTTTCCTGAATAAGTTTACCGTCGACAGCGGGGAATAAAGTCAAAATGTGAGACTACTTTTTTCTGACCGACTGATATTAGCTCACGGTGGACTAAATTTCTGTTGGAAAGGACTGACGGCTGCACTATAATCGCACTGTACAAGCACTCTACCCCCGTCTAGCCGTAAGCGCTAATGGTCTTCCCCGCGGTCTTCGATTCCCGCGCTCGAGTGCTAACAGTTGTGATCACCCAGAGGTGGTTTTATTTTCCACTTTCCACGCCTATATCTCTGCGTCAGACCAAAATATCACCTATCGACAACGCAGGTCTACACGAGTCATCGTTATCCTCGGTGTATTTACACTGATCACGTGACTGAAACTTGGGGGCGGAGTCCGATCACATGACCGTGCTGATGGGTTAAATAGCATCCCAAGCTCCAATAGGCCTACGTTATTGTGAAGTGTTTGTTTTTTTTTCTCCTTTTTCTTTTCGGCTATACAGCTCTTGGCTTTAATTGCGCAGGGCACTTGAACTGCACTGTTCACACGCAATGGAATAATTTCGCGCACAGCCATGCTAACACACACTCCAGGTGTATTCCTCTATGTGTAAAGTTACATCTAAATGTTGATGTAAAATGAGTTAATGCGGGCCCGTCGGAAGGTATAAAAAAAAGTGGGGGGCACCAGTGTTTTCCATCCTTAGGTGATCAATTTTTGCAAAGCCACGGCGTGAGGTTAAAATTAATTTTGGATTCTAGATGCTCTCTGGTGCAATCTTGGGGACTTTTCGGGCCACTTGCTTCTGTAATTTGGCGCCAAATCTGCCTCCATTTACACAGTGAAACAATGGCAAGAATTTTCAGTAAAACCATAGAGCCAATGTATTCAGATATTGCCCGGCATCTTGTTTTGCACCATGCATCCTAATCATGCATGCCTTCAATGTGGTCCAACAAGCGTCACTACCGGACCAACGTTCCGTGGGCATGGTGAAATTGGCCCCTTCGGAAGTTAAGACGGGACAATCCCCTAGGGGTGCAGTGTCCCAATTCAAGGAAAATTCTCCGCCAGGCCGAGGCGCACAAAAAGTACCCCCAGAGATTGTTTCGAAAAGAGGGGTCTGTTTGGGCCAAGAAATGGTGGAATTGTGTCAGTATAGCCCATGATCATCTCTGTAGATTCAGGGACACCCATCTGGGGGCAAAGCAGACAAAAATGGGATTGAAAATTAGTCAGACGAGCCCCAAGAAGGTGAGGGATGTCATTTAAAAAATGGCCGCTGGGAAGGCTTGGCAACATTCACTTTTTGGGGGGTGAGTTTGTTTTGGGCGGATAATTTAAAAATTCACTGGTTAACCTACTACAAATTGAAAATCAAA